TACTCTTTCAAGGATTTTTGATATGAAAGGAAGGTTGGAGATTGGCCTATAATTAGCTAAGACTGCTGGGTCTAGAGATGGCTTTTTGAGTAAAGGTATATATATATACAGAGGTGGGAAGTAACGAGCTACATTTACTCCGTTACATTTACTTGAGTAGGTTTTTGAAAAAAATGTACTTTTTAAGTACCTTTTTTGCATGATACTTTTCCTTTTACTTGAGTACATTTATGTAGAAGAAACGGTACTTTTACTCCGCTACATTTGCAAAATTCGACTTGTTACTTAAAAAAAAAATAGTTTAACACATTAGATAACATGCCGTCAGTGGAGTTTCCGGTAACTTTTTCACCAATGAGATGTGGCCATGCAGTCACATGACCAGTTTGAAACTGTGGCGGGCAGAGCGGCCCAAGCGTTTCAAAGTATCGACACACGGAAAGAAGAAATATGATGGCAGAGTCTATGCTAATGCTGAAGAGGATGAACACCCTTGGCCTCACATACAAAGAATGTTTCACTTAAAAGCAGCAAAAAAGAACAGCTATGTCTTCAGTGTCAGTCTCTTCAGTGAGAGCCAAAACAAACAACTTTTCAGCATGAAACAAGTCAGCTTGTGTAACCTGAGGAAACAGTAAGTTTTCTCTAAATATCTTTTTAGCTGTGGTTAGCTGGATGTCAGTCTTATGTTACAGCAGCGGTGTCGAGCTCGAGCTGCGAGTCATATTTTCAGCGCTACATTGTAGTGAGATAAGTTTGTGGGTGTTTTGTGCAGCTTCAGCTGTCTTTTTAACTGCTGGCTGGTTAGCTAGCATGAGCTATAAGCTAACAGCCAGCCTGGTTAATGATGCTGGAGTTCAACGCACATGCAAACAGCTCATCTCTACTGTTTTAACTGTTAAAACAGAGGCAATACTGCGGCTGACAGTGTTTATTATGTGAAACAGCAGCTTGTTTAGTTTAAACAGTCTGCGTTAAGCTGGGCAAACACTGCGATTTTTTTTCAGTCGCGTTATTCCGCTCCTGCTCAAACTGTGCAATTAA